AAAAAAAAAAAAAAAAAAAAAAAAAAAAAAAAAAAAAAAAAAAAACGGGTGATTCACCCTGATTTTCTGTTTCTCCCTTTAAGCATCTTAAAAAAAGATTATTTGTAGTTCGTACAGACACATTTATTGAATCTCAGACTCCTATAAACAAGTGACTTAAATATAGAATTTTTGGCAACAGTTTTATTAATTTTTTATCTCGTCTTCCTGAAGCTGCAGCTTTAATTAAACAGTTTCCAACCATATGTTTTATTTTATTTTATTTTTTACCTGCTTTTCCTCTCTCTGGGAGCTGCTGCTCATCTCCAGTGGTTGTGTTGGAAGTGGGGTACACCCTGGACAGATCGCCAGTCTGTCACAGGTAAGTACGGAAGCTGAGAGGGGACGTTTTCTGCTGATCACCCACCCCACCCCCCATGGGTTTTCTCATGATATCATGAAATAAGTGTTTTCTCGCGATAAACGAGTTATGGTTTTCCTCTAGTGTATCACGAGAAAACCATGGAAAAAAAATTCTGTAGGTAAGACTTCAAAACTGACAAACTGTTTCTTAATTTATATCAGAATAGTTTATATTTTGAGCCGGAGACATGACACCATTTTTATCTTTAAAAAAAAAGAGGCATTAAAGAATAAGTTTGTGTGCATATTTGAACATTTTCAAACAAATTTACAGTAAATTCTGATGTAACATTTACAGTTTCTAATAATACTACAAATACAGTGACTGGAAAATGCTAAAGCCACACAATGGCCACCAAAAAAACAAACGTATAAAAACAAATAACAGTTATTTGTAGTGACACAAATATGAACCCATCCTGGGATGGCCTGTATTTAACAAAACATGTACACAGACAATATTTTACTTTTTAAAATTTTCACTTGAAATTTCATGTCAGAAGGTGCTTTGCTAGAAAAAAAAATAAAAAAGGAAGTCCCTCAGAAAACCATATCTCATCTGCATTCACACTCTCCACACACCATCCAACTAATAAATACACTCAACTTTATGAACCAGAATGTTTTTACACATTTCCTTAATCTCCATAAATAAAAAAAATAAAATTAAAAAAAACGTCCAGCAACATCCAACCGTGTTGGCTTAAATGATCTATAGGAGTGGATTAAAGTGGATTACAGAAAATACAGAGCATGAACGGTCAGGTTCATTTAGAGAGGACAGTGAAGTGTAGCTGGCATCATTTAGTGAGAGCTTCAAACACAAGTTCAGGTATTTCACAATTTCCTGCTGACTTTCTGATCCACTGCAACAGAAAAAAAAACACTTCTCTGTTAGTTTTAACACTGTTTCCTGGCAGTTATTTTTTTTAAACATGTCACAGACGACATGAAGCTACGTTTTGCTCTTCCTTTTATGTTGTGCTGCAACATAGTGTGTTTCAGACCTGTCTGCCATGACGGCACTGCTCGTGTGGAAATGTTGAAGACGCAGAATGTTTTTAGCACAACAGGGTTTGTTCTGGAGGGAATGTTTAATGACTTAAAATAATAAATCTGCGAGATTAAAAAAATATTGTCAGAGGGCAGAACATGTTGTGACGTTTTTTCTACTTAACATCTTAAAACTTTGTTTTGTAAAAAGTAAAACATTTCCACCATAACTGCTCCGACCTTTGATCATTTGGCATGTCTCCTAACCTTCATCTGTCACCTGAACCAACGGTCCTTTTCTTGCAGTTTGCTACATGTTGAACACGCCTGCGTTTTGGGGAAGCTGTCTTCCTGCAGCAGGACTCGTGCACCCTGGAGATGTGGAGCTAACCAGGAGTTCTCAGACTTCCTTTAGTCCTCCCAGCTGCTCTGGACAAAGTTTAACGTGGCGGTAGGAGGAGGAGCAGGATGCTGGAGCCAGGAGAACTCTTTATTTCCTCCTCCTCTGTCCCCACCCCCCCTCCTGCTCGGCCTTCCTGTTCCATCAGCGGTCACGTGACTGAGACACTACGACACGCAGCAGCAGGTCCGCGTCTTGGGCTGCTGCTCCTCCTCCGCAGGCTGTTTGAACCTGAGGAGGGGCGGCTCGCCGCTGGCCGGCGTGTAGAAGACGGCGCTCCCGTTGGAGGAGACCAGCGGCATGCGCGGGTCGTCGGAGCTGACTTTGGCATCGCAGAAAGAGTCCGTGGATCCGTTACCGAGGTGGCCGTTGAACAAGGGGTGACTCAGCAGTTTGGCTGCGGCCCTCTGCTTCTTCAGCTCGGACAGAGTCTGAGCGCGCTCCCTGGGCGCCGCTTCCTCCTCCTGGTGCGGGGGCTGCGTGGTGACCACCCCGCCCCTGTTGGGCGACGGCGCGCTGCCGTTGGAGGGCGGCTGAGGGGGCGTGGACACCGTCGTGGTGATGAGGCCGTTCTGTTTGCTGCTGCCATCTTTGAGGATGGTGGGCAGCTTGGACTTGTCTGGCAGCTCCACGGCTACAACCGGTTTCACCTGCAGGAACAACAAAACATTCCTTTGATCCATTAAAAAAAGACAAATTTTCTTCCATTAACGCAGGTATGGGCAACTTAAACGATGGAAAGGGCCACAATGTTTTATTTGTAATAAAACTGACAATTTTAAAATGTTTATGTAAATATGTTTAGTAAACCAACATACAGTGCAGTGACAACATATTTGATGCTGAAATGCATTGAGGTCAGACTCCTGCATGGTTCTGGTGAAAAGTTACTGTTTCTGTATTTGTAATTTCAGTAAACTTCTCATATTTAGCTTTGTGCAACATGTTGTGTTGACTTCTGTTAAAATCCTCCAGAAGAAAGTGTCTCTAAGCAGACTAAACACAGGTTTGCCTTGAAATCCTGTAAACAGATAGTCTACCCCCCAAAAGAAAAAACTTTTTTTTATTATTTTCCTTTTTTTGTTAACTTTTAAACCCTTTTTAAGCAACTCTTAGATTCCAAGAGCTGTTTCGAGTGTTTAAGTACCTAAAAAAGTAGTTCAAATATGTGACCTATCATATCGAAATGAGGATTAAGTCAAATTTGGTCAAAATGACTTAATTACATGTTCAGATTTGTGGCTTTAAAAGCTACATTTTGATACCTGGATCATTCCGATATCAGTTCATCCTGAGAAATGACTTAATTTGTCTTGATGGTTTACGATAACACATTACTGTTTGGTCTGAATCCTAATTTTATGTAAATTTATTGAGTCATATTTGATGTTAATATAAAGAGTAAACCTCAAATATTATTTGTATACTAATATTTCCTAGTTGGAAAGAAACAAAAACTTTGCTAGCTCACAGGGAAAAATTCAAAATTTTAAGGCATTTTTCCTCAAAATCAGGTTTTTTGTTGCTATTCCTCAAAAACCTGCTTCTAAAAAGCATTTTAGAATTTTATTTCAGACAGTTCATTCAAATGATACATTGATGAGGCATTTATTCATTATATTTTGACAAAATGCAATTTTTGCACACGTTTAAATCAAAACCCTGTATCTGCCTATTTTTCCACATTCCACTTTTAGACTTAATCCTCATTTCGATGTGATGGGTCACATTAAATAAATAAATAAATAAATAAATAAAACTTTTTGGGGGGTGGGGCCTCATAGGTGGGCCAGATGTGAGTCACCCGCAGGCCGTATGTGACCCACAGGCCACCAGTTGCCCAACCATGCATTAACTATAGACATATTGTGAAACCTGGGTAAACCAAGTTTATTGGATTTTTTTCTAAAAAAGAAAAAAAGCATTTAAAAATATTTCTTACATTCCTCTCAAAGTCCTCAGATAACCTGTAAAATGTTTGTTGTAAAATTTGTACTGAGCTGTTCACATTATCCTTCTTTCTCTTGAACACCCACGTCATTTGTTCATTTATGAGCAGGAAGTTAAAACCACACAAAATTAGCTTCTGCTTCCGTTTTAAATAAACAAAACACCACATTAATCACCTGATTATTCTCCTGGTCGGACTCCTTCTCTTTCTCCTCTTCCTCCTCCCTTCCTCCCCTCCACACGCTGGCCTCGGTCTCGTATTCTTTTCGACACAAGTTGTGTCTGTCGGACAGACTGGCTCTCCGCACCACTTTCCTGCGGACACAAGCAGAGATGAAGCAACAAGACACACATTAATGGGAATAACCCTTTTCAGACGAAGGTATTTCTTTAAATGACTCTGGAAGGACGTTTAGTTGTGTGGAAGCTGCAGTTCGACCAGCAGATGTCAGCACTCACCCACGGCTGCCTGCGCTGGACGTCCGCCTGCACAGCGAGGTCTTGTGTTTCAGCTGGGACTTCATGATTGTTTCGTGTTTATGCTTCAGGTCCAGCAGGATGGTCCTGAACTCCTCATCCTCACACAAATCTGAAGGGGGACATGTTAGTTAGTTTTTATTCATTTCATTTAAAACAAAAAACAAAACAAAAGATTTATACACATTAAAAACAAAAATCAAAACAAAAAAATACACAACAAAATATACACGAATCCAAATAGAAATGAAAGGAGGCAGAAAGAAGAAAAAAATCTTATATCTGCCCCTTTTTTCTATAATGAATTTCAAGCAATAATAATAAAGAAACAAAACAAAAGCTTCAATTCCTTCTCAAACAACAATTTCTTATTTCTTTAACTTTTTTTTTATCATTCTCTTAAAGAAATACATTGAACCAGCATTTTTATAATCACTTTCCAGATTATTCCACAATCTTATTCCTTGAATTGAAGTGCATCAATCCTTCAAGTTCGTTCAAATTTTAAGTTTTACAAACATCTCAAGTCCTTCAAGATTATAAGAACTTTCTCTCTTAACAAAATATAACTGGATGTTTAAAGGTAACATTTTTATGAGCCTTTTAAATAATCTGCAAAATATTATAATCAACCAACTCATAAAGTTTTAATAACTTTAATTTACAAAATAATATATTACATGTCATCTCAGCTTCAGGAAATGTAATCATACGAGACTGGTTGATGCTGCAACATTTTAAAGATTGGTAGTTTATTCCTTATTAAACAATAAATCTACGTCTTGTGGGAACGAACCCTTGATGCCAAACCCTGAAGATGACCTGCCTCCTAAATGCCCCACCAGGTGTTTAGATAAAAAGTGCCGAGTTGTGAGTTTTACCTATGGGCGTCTCTTCCAGGAAGGTCTTGGCATTGAGACTGGCTCCGTGTGATGCCAGCAGCTCCGCCACATGCATCTGAGACAAACACCAGCAGCTGTTTACACCGGCAGCGACAGAACCCTCTGTGTGCGCGCTTATCTTTCGTGTTTCCTGTTGTGTTGACCTCACCTGACCCCAGCACGCCGCAGCATGAAGAGGCTGCCATCCGTCCGAGTCTCTGAGGTCCATGCGAGCTCCCCCCTCCAGCAGCAGCTCCGCAGCCTGCGCGTAGCCATTTGCTGCTGCGATGTGCAGCTGCAAAGGAAAGAGAAGGGAAAAGTGGATTTACTGTAGATCTGCTCTGGTTGTGATGCACTGAGAATGTCGCTTTGGTAGCTATCAGTGAAATAATCTGGTGTTTGTGAGTTTTACAGATTTGTGTCACTGATAAGCTTCAGAACAATTAAAAAAATGCATGTTTAGTTCAGGTTGATTGTGTGAAAGGAAATCAGTTGAAGTTTGGAGCTGAGTTTGCAGATCTGACAGGCTCCGCAAACTCTACCTTGAAACTCTTAAAAGGACAGGTTTTTTTATCATCTATGTATGATTTTATTTCTAGTCCAAGTGTCCAAAACGTCTCTGACATGCCGTCAACCCACTCGGTGGAAAATCCTTTTATTCAGCCACAAGTTGTCCAGACCCACCGCTTTAATTTGAGTTTAAACAGTCCTGAGATTTCTGAAGACCCCGGATAAGTTTGCTTTGTGACAATATTCTGAATACTTTTTTACACGAACAAAAGAAATCAAATCTAAAGTCTACAACTATAACTCAAAAACTGAGTCTGTTAGAATATTATAGGAAAGAACAGGAAGTATGTTGATTAAATAATCATTAATAGTTAATGATGATTCATTTAATTTAATGAAATGTTGGAAGATATTGATTCCAGATCCACAGGCGACATGTGACATTTTACAAAGTTCAAAGATGTTTAATCAGCAGACTGCTGATAAGGATTTGCCTTTTTTGTTTAAAGGGGCAATATCATGTAAAATCAACTTTTTTGAGTTTTATATCATGTTATAAAGTTATACTCTCATAAAAACATGCCAAAAGCCTTGCTTAGACTCATTCATGCATGTTTGAGAAATCCTGCAGCGTTTTTAGGAAGCCATGCTGAGGAGCAAAACGACAGGTGGGGACCAGAGACGCCTTTGGGGACTAGAAACGACGTGTCTTTAAGTGGGGACCAGAAATGCCCCTGGGACGTGTCTTTAAGCTGAACTTCTCATGGCAGAGCACCCACCCCCCCTTTGC